CTGAAAGCACAGACTTGAACTAAATTACACCAGTCTTCATAGCAGCATTATTCACAACAGCCAAAAGGTGGAAGTGATCCAAGTGTCCATTGGACAAATGAATGGAAAGCAAAATGTGGTCTATACATACAGAGGAATCAGCCTTAAAATGGAAGGAAATCCTGACACCTGATACAACATGGATGAACCTTGAGGTCATTCTCTAAGTAAATAAGTTGGTCATAAAAAAGACAAATACTGTAGGATTCCACCTATATGAGATTCCCCAGAGCAGTCAAATTCATAGCCACAGACAGAATGGTAGTTGCTAGGTGCTGCAGGGTGGGGGACTGAAGAATTAGTGTTTAATGTATACACAGTTTCAGTTTGGGAGGATGGAAAGAGTTCCATGGATGGATGGTGGTATCTTATATACTAAAGTGACTCATCAACCATCCCCCCAGTTGCCCAGTCCAATAGCCCATTTGTCAGTGCACTCCAACCAACTCCTTTTTTTTAATGTTTGTTTATTTTTGAGAGAGAGAGAGAGAGAGTGCAAGCAGTGTGGGGGCGGGGAAATTGAGGGGGACAGAGGATCTGAAGTGGGCTCCATGCTGACAGCAGTAACTGGATGCGGGGCCTGAACACAAGAACCATGAGATTATGACCTGAGCTGAAGCCAGATGCTCAACTGACTGAGCCACCCAGGTGCCCCCAACCCACTCTTTTAAGGGCTAACTTGTTTCAAGCTTATGCACTCCTTGCTTGCTGATCTAAACTCCATAGTTTATAGCAGAATTAACCTACTTTCCTTGAGATCCTGCAGATTGCTGGTCTTGAGGAATAAAGGACCATACTTTCTGGAAGATAAGTCCTTATTGCACTTGAGAAGAGCCGCCACTGACCATGGTGTCCTCATTAAGAGTCACATGGGAGGGGCGCCTGGGTGGCGCAGTCGGTTAAGCGTCCGACTTCAGCCAGGTCATGATCTCGCGGTCCGTGAGTTCGAGCCCCGCGTCAGGCTCTGGGCTGATGGCTCGGAGCCTGGAGCCTGTTTCCGATTCTGTGTCTCCCTCTCTCTCTGCCCCTCCCCCGTTCATGCTCTGTCTCTCTCTGTCCCAAAAAAATAAATAAAACGTTAAAAAAAAAAAAAAGAGTCACATGGGAGCCCTGATTCTTGCAGGGGGAGGAGTATGGACTGCCTTACCAAGATGCAGCTTGTGGTGCTGCAGTGGAATCCTTTACTGAGAGACACCTGGGAACCTTGATAATTAGCCTAGCGGAGGAATCTGTAAGCCTTGCAAGGATGAATGATTAACTGCTGAACACCAGCTTCTCTGGCACGTAGTCCCCTCAACATTTCCTGCATCTTTTCCTTTGAAAACCTCCTGCATAGCCTGGAAGGGGGAGTATGGTCTTTGGGGTATTAATATTCCATCTTCCCAGGCTGCCAGTTTCCTAAATAAAGCAACCTTTCCTTTCCCACCAATGTTTGTCTCTTGAGTATTGACTTTCGAATGGCAAGCAGTCAAACCCCCATCTCAACCAGTCCTTTGTCAGGTAACACAGTCTCAGAAATCTGTAGGATTTGATGCTGCCAACATGTTCTACAGCTATGAGCCCACTGCTGTCCTGGATCTTACCTTATCCACCAAGGGACAGTTGTATGTGCAGATGGGTGCGACTATACATTGTAAATAATGCTGGATATGGGGTGCTTGGGTGGCTCAGTCGGTTGAGCGTCTCACTTCAGCTCAGGTCATGATCTCACAGTTCATGAGTTCGAGCCCCGCATCAGGCTGGCTACTGTCAGTATAGAGCATGCTTTGGATCCTCTGTCCCCCTCTCTCTCCACTCCTCCCATCTTGTGCTCTCTCAAAAATAAATAAGCATTAAAAAATAATGATGGATATGCATTTATTTACACATATGCATGAATCCTATGTTTGTATAGTTCTATTTATTGAAGATTTACTATTACTACTAGGCACCATGCAGGTATTCACATATATCATTTCACAGAATTCCCTCAAATTATCTTAGTTGCTTCCTGACTCTCCACCAACACCTCCAATGATTCCTCCTTGGTTTCTCTTCTGGCATTTTCATATGATGGATTCTTTGGGATTCTTTCCTTGTCATGTGAGCAGGTGAGCTCATGCACTCTGATGACTCTCTGCCCGGTTCCACATCAATGGCTCCAAGTCTCCTCCAGACCAGGCTTCATTGCTGAGCTTGACAATGACACCATGTGCTCACCCAACATCTGCATCTGGACACCCAACAGCCTCTCAAATGCAACAAAGCCTGCACCAGCCCCATCCTCTCAGATCCACCCTAAGATCCATGTTCCTTGTTTTAGAACCTCTACTGTCTCACAGTTGCTTCTGTGACTCAGTCACAAATGACCCCAAAATCTTAGCACTTTATAACAATAACATTTTATTTCCCATCCATCTAATTAGTCCATGGGGGTCTGCTGTGGCTCAGGTCATGCTATCCACCCTCTAGAACAGGCTGATGGAGTAGCCATTCCTGCAACGTGGCGGATCATGAGGCAAAGGGCAAGACAGGGTGAGCCAGGGGCTGGCTCTCAGGACTTCTGCTCAGAAATGATGTACATTCATCCTCAGAGACCCAGCCCACCATTGCCCTGGGAAGCATCCTCAGCTCCTCCAGGCATACGGTGCTCCACGTTTTGCCCACAGTAAAGCCTTCTTGCATGTCTATGGAAAGATCTCACTGGTGTGAGATCATTCATTCATTCATATTAATTGAGAGGCAACCAGCAGCATTCCAAGCACTTGGAACACATGAATGAAAATTACAAAAATCCCTTCCTATACAGAGCTTATGTCTGAGCAAGAAGAGGCAAAGTGAAAGATGTAATAAACTCTAAGGTATGTTAGAAGGTAACAGGTGCTACAGGAAACAAGGGTAAAAGGGAAAAAGGTAAGAGGGGTCAGAACACCTGTGGCATGGGGAGGGCAGTATTAACAGGTGGTCAGGGTAAGCGTCCACAAGAAGCTAGCAGATGAGCAAAGACTTGGAGGACAGGAAGGAGAAGCTAGGTGGGTGGTGTTAAGAAGAAAACTACAGGCCCCAAATGCAGTCACTTCTGTTAAGGCTCCATGTCAACAAACCAAGACTTACTACCTAACCTAATCACAGTTTCAACACCTCCCCACCCCCAGGTATGTAACCTTTAACCAGTCAACATAGAATTTCCTGGTCAGCATTAAGAAATTTACTGAGAGGCCCCTTCCATTCCCCTTGGGAGGGCAACCTGTGCTAAAGCAATGGCTTCTGTGCTAATAATTTCCTTTTTTCCACTTCCTGTCTACCTTTAAAAATCTTTCCTTTTCTGCAACTCAATGGAGCTCTTTCTATTTGCTAGATGGATTGTTTAAGAAAGCCAATTCGATCTTCAAATTTACTCACTTGAATTCTGTTGTTTAACAGATTTGGTGGCAGGGATAGAATTCAAAGTGAACTTCTGGTGGCATTTGGAGATGAGAAGTACAGCTGTAGCACCCCATGAATCCTCTCATTTCATTTTCTTGCCATTTCCATGGGCTGTAGGTAAGTTCCTTTCAATTCTGAGCTCTGCTGTCTTTGCATTGAGCTCCAGATCTAATTGGCTTCGCACAGTTCCCTATTTTGAGTGGAAAACCCCAATCCTTTCCTGAATCCCCAGATTCCCCATAGGGAACTTTGGTAGACACTGGCTAGAGTCAGGCTGGGTCTGACTTGAAAATGAGACTGGGTCCAGAATCGGACTGGGTCTGGGATCAGGCTATTCCAATTTAAGCTGTACTGGGTCCAGTGCAAAGCCTTGAGTGAATAAAACTTTATTTTAGATAAAGGCCAGTGCTAATTGGAACCTCAAAAGTTAAAAAAAAAAGGCTATAAACATTAGTGGGAACGGGTCAAGCATTTAAATGTTATTTGAGCTCACCACCTGAAGACTCCAGTTGATAAAATAAGTTGGTCACAGAATGGGTTAGATTGACACCAACCTCAAGAAAACTTCTGTGCCAACAAGGTACACTATAAAACCTCCCACAATTCCCAAACCCCATGGCACATCCCTCTTAGATGTTAGTGCAGTTCTGAAAACCTGACGGCCTAGTAGCTAAAAGAAATGGGATCCTTTAGGGGTGCATGGGTGGCTCAGTCGATTAAACGTCTGACTCTTGATTTCAGCTCAGGTCATGATCAAGTTCGCGGGCTTGAGCCCCACATCCGGCTCTGTGCATCACTCTCTCCCTTTGCCCCTTCCCCCAGCTCGTTCTCCCTTCCTCTCTCTCTCTCTCTCTTTCTCTCAAAATAAATAAATAAACTTTAAAAAGATTAAAAAGATAACTTAAAAAAGAAATGGAATCCTTTAAATCCAAAGAGTTGAGCCCCTCACCTTCCAGCACACCTGCTTGTTTTATGTCTAAAAACTGTAGTCCTGGAAGCTGCAGATAGCTAGCAAAGATGGCAAAATCTTACTAAGCTTGTTTTGTGTCCTGAAGAATCTGGCTTGGTAGCTATCAGTTTGGGGGCCGCAAAATAAGGTCAGACAGAAATGTGAGTTACATCCCATGTGCCACTAGATATGGCCACTGGATGTGGGTTAAACTCCATTTGTGGCTAGGATCCTACCAAACTGTGGTCAGCCCTCAGGGGAATTACAACCTGGAATTACAATAGCCATTATGAGGAATGTTTCAATTAGATAAGACTATTTCAGAAGTGCACTGAAAAACAAAGGCTTCAAAATTCCAAAAAGAGCTTCACTGAAAGTTTTGTTACAAAAATCTGATAAAAAAATCAGAAAGACACAAGAGTTCCCTAAGACAAAAACTGTAGGAATGATGTAATTCTTACTGTTTCCCTAATCTTCCTTTACTCAAATACTCATTCTAGTTATTCTCTTTCTGAACTGCCTATACATGACCGGCAACAAAGTCCACCAAGTTAATGATGTTACAGATACCCCCATATCCACCTTCAAAGAAGGGCGGCCTATGCACTCCTCCAGAACTGACAAGACTCTGAGGGATTTTCTGATACACTGCTACCCAATTCCCTTAAACAGCCAAGGGAAAACAAACAAAAAAATGTAATTCCAACATAGGTGGGTACATATGTCAGTTCTTTAACATCCAGGCTATGACCCAATTCTTTGAAAAATTAAAAGCCACTGTCCTTATCTTACCAATTCAGAGTTCACCTATTATTTTTAACAATTCTAAAATCTCCCCTATTTATCTCAAAAGGTTTGTAAGTTATTGGTCTTAGGAAACCAAAGTTCTTGGAGAAACTTGCATTCTTTTCCCTGTGCCTTTCAAGATGAAAATCCTAAAAATGCCAGCCTCAGAGAGGTAATTCTTACCAGGAGTAGAACAAAAGGGGGAATGGTCATTTGAAAGGGAGATTAATGACAAATCTTAAATGTCTTCTCCACAAGTATTAGTAGAAAACACATTAGCCATCTGAGCAGGTAACTTTAACTTATTCCATTTGCCAGAAAAACAATCTGCATCCCACTGTTCTTTTATGTACTAGTGAATTTTGTGTTATCAAACCTGTCTCATGGCTAGAAAATTTAAAACAATACCTATAAGGTCTCTGTTTATACGTTTATGCATGTCTGTTGAAGATGTGTGACATTTCCTACTGCCAGATGGTATTGCTAAAATTAATTTGTAAAGAGCTCTATTTAATTGGCTTAAAATGAACATTTATAAATTACATATCCCTAAATCTCAGAAATATAATAGAAATGAACCCAAATGCTTTTCAGGTTCACATGATTTGGAAAGATAGTATTAAAGCTAATGTAAGATTGTTGTTTTAATTAAAACAGATGTATCTTTAGAGTTATCAATATTAAATATACTTTTTATTCTCCCTAAGTTTGCCAATCAAATCATTTCATGTTTTATCACTTACAAAATTCATTAACAAGACAAATGATGGCTAATCTTGCCTAATGTCTCATGAAGTCTTTGTGGTAATCTAAACATAATTGTTGGGAGCAAATGACTTAGAACAGATATGAGATAAGCTTTTAGGTGAACTTTTTTGCAAAAATGATGTTTTATGGTATGTGTACTAAAAAATAAGTTTCCAAAACCTTTTTGGTAACCTGAAACTTTAGAGTTTTGTCAAAGTATGTTAAATAAATTTTAAAAATCACTGAATATCCACATCATTTCCAAATTAAGATAAAATACTGAAAAATTCATTGCTAACCAAGTCTAAGTTTACCTACTTTTGTTTTCATATTACAGTGAAACTAAAGATGTTTGGATCTCTCAGTAAACATGTTTTATGCCACACTGAGAAATTCCAAGAAATCACTTAAGAAAAATGTTAAGTTTGCCAACTGACAGTTCACAACTAAGCCAACTTCTTAGTTAAGATTCCTAAGGGTTAAGATTTCTAATATATATGGTTAAAGCAACTAGAATAAGGGAAACATCTCCATATCCCAAAAAAAAAAAAAAAAAAAAAAAAAAAAAAAAAAAAAGGAGACTGTGTGTTTGGGTAAAAGAAGGTATGGAGAATGGAAGTATATTTTTGTTAAGGGAAAAGAAAGTAACTTTGTCCTAAAGTAAGGCTGGTTATTTAAAGAGGAAAAATATAGGCCAAAATCTGAATGTAAAAAAGAAAGTTATAGAAGGTCTGTGGAAAAGGAATCTGGCTAAGATTAAAATGAATTTTTTTAAATGAGTTTTAATATAAAAAGTACACTGGTATAAAATTAGACTTTAGTTTTTCTCTCTGTTAAAAGGACAAAGGTTTTTCAGATTACTGGTCTGCTATTAATAAGAAATTGTAAACAGGGGTACCTGGGCGGCTCAATTGTTTAATCGTCGGACTTCTGCTCAGGTCATGATCTCATGGTTCGTGGGTTTGAGGCCCACATCGGGCTCTGTGCTGACAGCTCAGAGCCTGGAGCCCCCTTTGGATTCTGTGTTTCCCTCTCTCTGACCTCCCCTACTGCACGTGCTCTCTCTCTCACAAATAAATAACAAACATTAAAAAATTGAAAAAAACCCAAATTGTAAACAAAAGGTTTTTAACTTTAACGTAATCTGCTTAGAAAAACAAAGATTCTCATTTTACCTTTTATCATTTTATCATTGTCTCTTAAAGTCCTCATATGAGTGAAGTCATATGATATTTGCCTTTCTCTGACTAATTTCACTTAGCATAATACCCTCTAGTTCCATCCACGTAGCTGCAAATGGCAAGATTTCATTCTTTTTGATTGCCAAGTAATACTCCATTGTATATACATACCACTTCTTTATCCATTCATCCATCGATGGACATTTGGGCTCTTTCCATACTTTGGCTATTGTTGATAGTCCTGCTACAAACATGGGGGTGCATATGTCTCTCCAAAACAGCACACCTGTATCCCTTGGATAAATACCTAGTAGTGCAATTGCCGGGTCGTAGGGTAGTTCTAGTTTTAATTTTTTGAGGAACCTCGATCCTGTTTTCCAGAGTGGCTGCACTTGCTTGCGTTCCCACCAACAATGAAAAAGAGATCCTCTTTCTCCGCATCCTCTCCAACATCTGTTGTTGCCTGAGTTGTTAATGTTAGCCATTCTGACAGATGTAAGGTGGTATCTCATTGTGGTTTTGATTTGTATTTCCCTGATGATGAGTGATGTTAAGCATTTTTTCATGTGTCAGTTGGGCATCTGGATGTCTTCTTTGGAGAAGTGTCTGTTCATGTCTTTTGTCTATTTCTTCACTGGATAATTTGTTTTTTGGGTGTTGAGTTTGATAAGTTCTTTATAGATTTTGGATAGTAACCCTTTATCTGATATGTCATTTGCAAATATCTTCTCCCATCCTGTCAGCTGCCTTTTAGTTTTGCTGATTGTTTCCTTCGCTGTGCAGAAGCTTTTCATTTTGATGAGGACCCAGCAGTTCAGTTTTGCTTTTGTTTCCCTTGCCTCCGGAGACATGTTGAATAGGAAGTTGCTGCAGCCAAGATCAAATAGGTTTTTGCCTGCTTTCTCCTCAAGGATTTTGATGGCTTCCTGTCTTACATTTAGGTCTTTCATCCATTTTGAGTTTATTTTTGTGTATCGTGTAAGAAGCAGTCCAGGTTCATTCTGCATGTTGCAGTCCAGTTTTCCCAGCACCACTTGCTGAAGAGACTGTCTTTATTCCATTGGATATTCTTTCCTGCTTTGTCAAAGATTAGCTGGCCATACATTTGTGGGTCCATTTTCTGGGTTCTCTATTCCATTCCATTAATCTGAGTGTCTGTTCTTGTGCCAGTACCATACTGCCTTGATGATTACAGTTTGTAGTACAGCTTCAAGTCTGGGATTGTGATGCCTCCTGCTTTGATTTTCTTTTTCAAGATTGCTTTGGCTATTTGGGGTCTTTTCTGGTTCCATACGAATTTTAGGATAGTTTGTTCAAGCTCTGTGAAGAATGCTGGTGTTATTTTGATAGGGATTGCATTGAATATGTACATTGCTTTGGGAAGTATCAACATTTTAACAATATTTGTTCTTCCTATCCAGAAGCATGGAATCTTCTTCCATTTTTGCATCTTCTTCAATTTCTTTCATAAGCTTTCTATAGTTTTCAGTGTATAGATTTTTCACCTCTTTGGTTAGATTTATTCCTAGATATTATGTGGGTTTTGGTGCAGTTGTAAATGGGATCGATTCCTTGATTCCTCTGTTGCTTCATTGTTGGTGTATAGGAATGCAACAGATTTCTGTGCATTGATTTTATATCATGCAACTTTGCTGAATTCATGAATCAGTTCTTGCAGTTTTTTGGTGGAATCTTGGGTTTTCCATATAGAGTATCATGTCATCTACAAAAGAGTGAAAGTTTGACCTCCTTCTGGCCAATTTGGATGCCTTTTATTTCTTTGTCTGATTTTATTTCTTTGTGTTGTCTGATTGCTGAGACTAAGACTTCCAATACTATGTTGAGTAACAGTGGTGAGAATGGACATCCCTGTCTTGTTCCTGACCTTAGAGGGAAAGCTCTCAGTTTTTCTCCATTGAGGATGATATTAGTGTTGGGTCTTTCCTATATGGCTTTTATGATCTTGAGGTATGATCTTTCTATCCCTACTTTCTTGAGGATTTTTATCAAGAAAGGAGTCTGTATTTTGTCAAAGACTTTCTCTCCATCTATTGAGAGGATCATATGGTTCTTGTCCTTTCTTTATAGATATGATGAATCACATTAACTGTTTGGTGGATATTGAACCAGCCCTTCATCCCAGGTATAAATCCAACTTGGTCATGGTGAATAATTTTTTTAATGTATTTTGGATCCAGTTGGCTAATACCTTGTTGAGGATTTCCGCATCCATGTTCATCAGGGAAATAGTTCTATAGTTCTCTTTCTTAGTGGGGTCTCTGTCTGGTTTTGGAATCAAGGTAATTCTGGCCTCACAGAAAGAGTTTGGAAGTTTTCCTTCCATTTCTATTTTTTTGGAACAGCTTCAAGAGAATAGGTGCTAACTCTTCCTTAAATGTTTGGTAGAATTCCCCTGGAAAGCCATCTGTCCCTGGACTCTTGTTTTTTGGGGAGATTTTTTATTACTAATTCAATTTCTTTACTGTTTATGGGTCTGTTCAAATTTTCTATTTCTTCCTGTTTCAGTTTTGGTAGTGTATATGTTTCTAGGAATTTATCCATTTCTTCCAGATTGTCCATTTTATTGGTGTATAATTGCTCATAATATTCTCTTATTATTTTTTTTCATTTCTGCTGTGTTGGTTGTGATCTCTTCTCTTTCATTCTTGATTTTATTTATTTGGGCCCTTTCTTTTTTCTTTTTGATCA